AAGAAGACCAGAGATCAAGTTTTGCAGCAGGATTTTAATGCTGTCCAACATGTTTATCAATAATTTGGATGAAAGAGCTAAGAGGGTGCTTATCAAGTTTGCAGATGACACAAAAGAGGGTGGCTAACACTTTAGAGGGAAAAAGGAAGATTAATAAAAATAGGCTTGAGCAATGAACTGAAATGAATAGGATGGGATTTAAAAACAAGAACAAATGTAAAGTTCTGCATCCAGATAGGGTAAAATATGAGCCAGCAGTTTATGCAACTGCTAAAAAGACAAATGCTATATTGGGGTATGTTCACAGCAGCTGAGAGTCCAAATTGCAGAATTAGTTGTTCCACTCTATACAGCCCTAGTCACATTCCACTTGAAGTACTGTCTGTTTTGGACAAGTGGCATCATCTTTCAAAAATGACAGTGACAAATTGGAGCATGATCAACAGAGACCTGCTAAGAAGGGGAGAATTCTGGAAACTAAGATCTGTGAGGATCAATGAAAGGATCTGTGTATGTTTATCTCACAGAAGAGACAATGGAAGGGGTGATATGATAACAATCTTCAAACATATAAAGGGTTCTCATACAGAAAAGGGACTGGACTTGCTTTCTATTGCCCCAGAGCACAGGATCAGAAACAATGGGTTAAAAATATAAGGAACTAGGTTCAAGATAAGTTAGGAGGAACTTCCTAACTACCGGAGCTATGAGCCAGCGGAAAAGGCTGCCATGCTCAGTAGAGAACTTCAAACAGAGGTTGGATGGTCTTCTGTCAGAGATGCTGTAGTGCAGTGTTTCTTAAAAAAAAATTCTCTCAGGACCCTTTCCCATTTTTAAAAATTATGGAGGACCCCAAAAGAGCTTATGTTTGTATCAGTTATATTTATTGATATTTACCATATTAAAAATTGACACATTTGCTGCCGCTACCACTTCTCATGATTGTTTGATGGGATGTTAATATTGTATTGTTTTTCAACGTAGGCTGGCAAATAACTTTGATTTTGAGGACCCCTGAGAGGGTCTTTGGGGACCCCCAGGGGTCCTGGGACCACACTTTAAGAAACATTGCTGTAGTAGATCTTGCACTGAGCAATTCTATTAACATATCTGGAAAGCATTTTGTTGCTTTCAACATGGCTTGGAAATTTCAGCACTGGCAAGGTATGTTCCTACTGTACAATCCCAGATGCCAATTATATTCCAAATTAACAGCAGTTTCCAGGCCAGTCTTTGAGAGCAACTGCATTTATAATATGATAAAATAGGGGTGTTTACTATTTCCTTATAAATCAATCTCCCAACATTGTGTCTTACTGCAAGATGTTCAAGATACATTGAGGTACAGACATTATCAGGGGCAAACACAATGTTTAACATACTTTGTTTTCCAAATTTATGATTTGCTCCTATAAGAAAGAACAGCTGTAGCCAGCAGGGACAAGGTGCACTGGGGCCATCAGTAAAGTCAAGACGGGTAACCGCAACTACAGTATGCCATCAAACCTTTGCCTCTGTTTTTTACATGCATCATATGCAGAGCACACATTAAAAAGGATGGAGCCTGGATCGCATGGGTGCAGCTAACAACTTGACTTTTTTGTCCTCCTGCAGTTACCCCTGGACAGGCACTCTGAAAGGTGAATCTGAATTTGAAGAAATCACACAAACATGAACAAACTGCCTAGTGTGGCTTAATGTTGCCAGGTACAGGAGTGGGTAAGAGGCTATGCACAGTAAACCCTGGTCGTAAGAAATGTGCAAGCCAGATATGGTAGCCTAGTTCTTCCTCAAATCTGCAGTCACCTATACAACTAAGCTGGCATTAACAATAAGCATTTTGTGTTAATAATGAAAACCACTGTACCCATTCAACCCCTTCCAAATAACAGAAGGGTTTGCATCATTGAGTGGTGCAAGAAGTTTGCGACGTACTCACATGAAATCGGACTGGATTTTATGGGATCCGCTGGCCATAGATTTGAACTCAACACCTTCCAGATCAATGTCTTGTGGCAAACACCATTCAACCATATTACCTGTGCAGAAGGGAGGAAAACAAAACATGAACATGGAGGCAGGTCAAGACCAAGGCCACACAATCACACAGATGTGCCTTTACTCTTCTGAACCATTGAAACCATAGCCCACATTGTCTTATATTATCAGTTTTACAGGGACAGCTGCTTTTGCCTCATAACCAAAATTCTTAGGGCACCCAGATTTGTTTTAGTTGAATTTTTTTAATTTTCTGAAAGAATTTTGGAGAATCAATTTCTCCAAACATTGTGAAAATCTTCTTTATATTTTAAAAAATTCAGCAAGGGTTATTGAGCTAATGTTAGAGTGCATGTGGGAAGTATGGGGCATCCAGGAAGGGGTAGCACCTCTGGTGGAGGGGCCTGCTGTGCCCATTCTAGGGCTGCTCTTTCACCTTTGGTCCCCATCTGGTGCTCAGCTCTCACCTGTGGCTCCAAGAAGCTGTAATACACGCAGTGCCCACATCCCAGTAAACTCTCGGCAGACAGACCAAACCAGGTAAATGTAGTCAACAGGTCTTCGACTCTCAGTGAAATAGGGGATTTACCTATCCCAGCATGTGAAAACTGGCCCTGGCAGATTGAGCAGAGAAGACTGATCAATGGTCCAATGGTCAAGAAGGCAGGCCCAGCAGGCATTGTGGAGCACTAAGAGCATGACAAGGCTCTTAGATGGCCTGGTCATCCACTGCAGCAGGAGCGGTTTCTAGCATTAACAATTGTCTATGCCACTGGATTAAAGTCTCTTATGCCGGGAGAGTGGGACTGCCTCTGTGCAATGGCTGTTCCACCTAAGAGTCCATCACGTACAGGTTTCTGTTGCGCAATTCATCTTCATCTACAACTTATCTGCAAATCATCTCAATCCAAACCTAATTCGTTGAGCCCTGTGGCGATGGGGGAGTAGCAAAGCAACAGGCGGAACTGACCACTGGCAATTGTAGTCTGAGACCAGGCTGGCAGACGAGGGTTCATTACAGGAAGCAGCAAGTGGATATATGTTCTTTTGGAAAGGGAAACCGCAGACTGACAGCCGGACTCACAGAGTAGGTTTTGCAATCAAAACTGCTCTGCTGAAGAACATCTCCACTCACTGCTGAATAAATGAATGCATTATGAAGTTCCACTTTCCTCTCAGCAAGTCCTGGTATATCACCATTGTCAGCGCCTACACACCAACTCTCATGAGTCCAAACGAAGACAAAGGAAGGTTTCTACGAAGACCTGGACCAGATTATTCGAACAACCTCCATCAGCAACAAACTCATCATTCTGGGCGACTTCAACGTTAGGGTGGGGACAGACAGCAACTACTAGGATGGAGTCCTCGGGAGACATGGGGTGGGAAAACTAAATAGCAATGGCCTGGTGCTTCTGAGCAAATGTGCCGAGCACAACCTGTGCATCAGTAACATGATGTTCAGACTTGCAAACAAGTACAAAACTACTTGAATGCATCCCAGGTCCAAACAGTGGCACCGACTTAACTATGTCCTAGTATGTCAGTGCGACCTTAAAGATGTCACTGAGCCATGCAAGGTGCTGAGTGCTGGACAGATCACAAGCT